TCTCACCTACAGCCTCTGCTCTACCTTCCCTTCCTCACGAACCAACAAAACCTCGATCCTTTCTCCAAAACCACCTAAACCGAATTAGGGTTTCAGAAAACACAAACAACACGCTGACTTCGAAAGCACACAGAGAATGAAGATTACCTTAGAATCAGGATCGGAAACCTGATCTGGAACCTAGACAGAAATAGCTATCGAACGGTATGCGGATCGTCTTCTGAGTTCTTCTGGTTCGATAGGAATCCTCCCTCGAACTAGACTGATCACTGACCCAAAACTGCACAAACTTCTCTCAGTAAAACAATGATAACTCCTTGAATACACATTCGATTGACAAACCGTTTTCTCCCATATCAAGATCGGAGAGTGAAAAACTTAACCTGAAAGTTTTGCTCCGATTCGATCTGTTCTTACTGGCCGTTACTCTCCTCTTCTAAAACCAGACAGAACTACCTCTGAAACCTCAATCAACAATCTCTTCTTCTCTCTCACAACCTACGAAAATCCTCTCTATCCACTCTGATTTTCGCCTAAAGAAGGAGGCTGCTCGTTTATATAGCGAGCCCTAGGGTTTCCCCAACCCAAAATCGTTAACCAAACGATTTAAAACCCGACAAATCAAAATCGAACTAACCAGTTCAATTCAATCTTGCGTCGATCGACGCACTGTCCAAAAATCACAATTTTGGTTAACGAGCGTTACAAAATACATGAATTCCGACAAAATCACCGTTTTCACTTTTTATTCTTTTTTATTTTTATTGTTTTATTTAAATCTTTTTTTACACACTAATGCGATATTTTCTATTTGGTGAACTTAAATAAGTTTAAAAAAATCGATAATCTTAAACGTATTCTATTTACATCAAAAACTCTTACACTCAATCTAAGTATCATGCAAATTAAATTTTGTAAGATGAAATATATTTATCTATATGGGAAATATACCATTTGATCTTTGTTATTTCTAATTTTTTCCGTATATACATAACATGAATTTTTCTTCTCGAGTATTCTAATCCCGCGTTTGATGCGGGTAACAAACCTAGTTCAAAGATAAACATAGAAATATACTGACCACAAAAAAAAGTAGAAATATCTGGATAAAAGAGTTTTTTTAATCGCTGGAGTTCTTATTAATTGAAAATGTCAAAGACCATGAAACAAAGCAAGATTTTGAACATAATAATAGATTTGAAAGAGCTAGTGAAAACAGAGCATCAACTCCCAATGAAAAGGGGTATAAGATGCTAACAACTCGCTTCTTAAATTGTTATGTCATGAAACTAAAAAGGACCACCTACGACCAAGTAGGAACTGAACCTTCAATCGCGCATCACGCTTTTGGATATTTCTCTTGCAATCAAGTTTGTTGATGGAGATTCTAACTCAAAGACACAACTATCAAAACTTTCATGAACGTTGTGAATCAGCTCTGTGTAGCTGTACCTCGGTCATTCTTTTGGTCTTTGACATTACATCTTTGATTTGTAAGTCTCGTAGGCTTTGATCATACATATAAATTCTATGATGTCCATTTATACTTTGGAGTTGTATTCTTCTTTATGTTAATCTAATAAAAGTTTGATTTAACCAACAAAAAGAAAGAGAAAATATATATTATGGCATAGTTTTTTACTACTAACTTTCACACAGCGAACACTGGAAGAGGCAAAATAAACATATTATTAATCTCTTGCCCAACTACAAATTAATTAATCAATCAAAATGATATTTCGTAGCTTCTCTTCCAAAAAAAAATAAAAATGTGACTTAAAAATGAAAGTATTTATATATAAACAAATAAACCCATTTTTTTCTTTTTAATTGGCCATTTCTTTGAAATTTACTTTTAAAACAAAAATTGTTTCCTTTAGTATAACTACAAGAACATCTCACATTGCAGCAATGTGTAAAATTAGCGGCTTCATCTTCAAGCTCCCAAAACGCATCACTTAACCTATCTAACAAACTACTATCTCCATAATCTTGATTAACCTTTTCATAATTACTATCTCCAAATTCGGTGTTAGGGATCTCGAGTTCATCATCAGAAGCTTCCAAAAGTGTTCATAAATAATGTTTTATACAAAGAAATCTCACCACTCTAACGAAGAAATTTTACCTCTCTAACAAAGGATTCTTAACAATTTACTACCAATTTTAAAATGACAATACCACCAAAGATGATTCTAATGAACCACACACATTTACTACCAAATAAAAAATGTTATCAGTCACCGAAACACATGTGAATGTAAATTCATGATAAATCCTAAATGGAAGTAGATAATCTCTTCGAAAACTCACATGTACCATCTTGAAGTTAACCATTATGATAATTTCTATTCTCTACTGTTTTCGTTTGTTTTTACTCAAAATTATGAAAATCTAAGTTTCTTCTATATTTTTTTAGTGTAAAAATTATCATTGATGAAGTTTCTTACTCCATGCTTTGTATATGGATTGAAATATGCTTCTCCTACTTCTGAAGAAACCAAACTTCCGATGAGATAGTTTTGCTCTTTTTTTGTACTATTTAGTTTTTTTCTACATTCGATTTTGCTTTAATTATATCAATAACAATAATCTTATTTCGTTAAAGTATAAATCTTCTCTCTGATTTTCGTTTGAGTTTCTTCTACGTTCGATTTTGCTTTAATTAGAACAATGAGTATAATCTGATTTCGTTGGTGTAGAAATCTTCACTGATGAAGCTTTTGTTTCCATGTTGTGCTTCTAGATTGAAATCTGTTGTTGCTAAGATTTTGCCTCTAAAGATAATTTGTGTGTTTTGTTTTGATCTAATAAATTGTGTTCATCAAAACGAAGTTATGATTGAAATTCTCTTGAGTTGCGTCTAAATGTTCATAATAATCTATGTGTTTTGTTTTGGATATGATAAATTGTGTTCATCAAAACAAAGGTTGTGATTGAAATTATGTTGACTTATGATTTAACCTTCACAATGCAATTGAACCTTTGAAATTGAAATTCGTTTTGTAGGCTCTAACTCCTCCTTTAGCTCTTGAGATTGCTAATTAGGTAAACAAATAATAATCTATGCGTTTTGTGTTGGATCTAATAAATTATGATTGAAGTACTCTTGGGTTGCGATTTTGTTTTGTCTCTAATAAATTGTGTTCATCAAAATGAAGGTTCTGATTGAAATATCTTCAGTTGTAATTGAACTTTTTATGATAATATGCGTGTCTTGTTTTGGATATAACAAATTATGTTCATAAAAACGAAGGTTATGATTTATATCCTGACCTATGATTTAACTTTTACAATGCTATTGAATCTTTGAAATTGAAATTCGTTTTGTGTGCTGTATTTGTAACAGCAGCTCTTCTAACTTTTTAGTACGGTAAAGTGGCTTAGTGTGTTGATTGCTCACTTACCTGCACCTCCAGAAAGTATTTACGAGTCCTGTCTTTTCGGTTTACTTTCTTTACGATTTTATTATATTCCCCCACTATAAGTCTATGTTCCCTCGCACTAGGAAATTCAATATGATCTTTTCTACGCTTTGCTCTACATGCTTCTTTTCGAACTACATCAGCAATTCTATGCAGACCGGCATCGTTATCCTGTCCATTTTAGTCATATAACATCAATTACAT